CTACTACTTCCACAGTGCTCTAACTTGCGGAGCCCGTTTTCCCCTAGGCTGCATTCTGGCCACTGGGTGGCGTCCGCACCTTACAGTAATCCCGTATCCTCCGCACACTTCCCCCACCAATTCCTCCCCACCCCCAGCCCCCACTCAGACCAGCTCTGCAAATTCCTCTCTCGCCGGGTTTGGTCTCGGAAAGTCCCTCTTTGCAACTAGCTTCTTACGCTATTGCTGCAGTTCAAAGCTAGATGATCTCGGGGGTCCCAAAAAACTAGCAATGGCTCACACGCAAATCCAGCTTCTTCATTACAAAAATATTTAGTGGCCACCTACTACGCATCAAGCACTTTGCTAGGGACTGTCTCTTCAAACTTCCATCTGTCCCCAAATCCCAAACGCAGCCAGTATCTGCATCCTACCACCTGTGACTTCCTGCTGGAATATCCAGTGTGTTAAATAAAGTTCAGGTCACTTTCGCCCTGCTCCGGGCCCTAGAACAAGTGCACTGCCTGGCTTCCAGAAAAGCTCTATCAGTGTGGGTGGCAGTCAGTCCTGGGTTATGGTCTCAGTTTCGTCATTTTAGGCAAGTTGCTGGTTCCCTCTCAGTTGTTACGAAGACTGGTGAGCAATGTATGCAGAGCACTTGGGCGCAAAGTATTCCCTTTCTTCTAGCCACTCTCCAAAAACACAGCCCAACAAACAAGCCCCAGAAACACCAGGGGAATGTGCTGGCCACACCCTCACCCATGACCAAGGGGAACTCCTACAGTCCCTGACCAGAGCCCTTTGGTTTCAGCTCCAGCAATTGCTCTATGCCTGGCCAGTTCTGAGGGGCAGGGCTGGAGTAGCTGAACATCCTCTCCTCGCTTAGGCCTGGTTGCCTGACTCTGCAGCAGCTGCATTCTAGCCCCTAGCCTTCACCATGACAACCAGCCTGTCCAGACCTGAGCCAGCCAGGCTGGGGAAGATGGGGGTCTCAGGCTGCTCAGGCTGAAAGCCAGTGCCTAGGATTCCCCTGGTCTCTCCCTCAGGGTGCAGGACAAATCATTACTATACCCTGCTCCTTGTGGCGCAGACATTCTGGGGCCTCCCTAGAGACAGAGTGCCCCTTGACTCTCCCTCCTGTGTCAGGGCCTAGGGAAGAGGGCCAAGGGCTGAGGGTTTGGGGAAGGAAAAGAGGGGGCAGGGCGGGGAAAGCAGGGGTCAGCTAGCCTCTAGAGGCAGGCACAGGCGGAGAAGAGCATCCTGCATTCCCAGGAGAGAGGACAGCTGAGGTGAAAGCTGCTAGTTGGCCGGCCTGTTGGTCTGGACTCCTCCCTGCCGGCTGCCTTTGGCTGCCCACAGAAACCTGAGTCAGAGTCACGGCCAGCCGCCTGACCCCACCCAGCCTGCTGTCAAGCACGGAGATTCTGGAGAGACTGGAGGCGGAGCTTCTCCTCCCCCGTCTTCCAACCTCTGAGATTCTTCTCTCTGCCTGTGATTCCTCCTCTTGGCATCTTTTTCTTTGGGACTCCACAAAGTGTCATCAGTCCTCAATTAAGGGTGGGGTGGGGTCCATCTCAGGTTGAACTATAGGATCTTCTGGCTTAGATGGGAATTTACAGGCTCCTTAGACAGCTACTCCAAGGGCTCTTCGTGAAGCTCCCAACATTTTCCCAGATCCCAATTACTCTCTACCACCCCTCAGGGCCAGGACATTTAGGAACACTAGGCACCCCTTCCCCACCTCATCTCCTTCTCCCTTCAACACAGCAGGGACAGCTTCCCACCCCTAGCAAGGGGTTTAGACAAGGACCTCTTCCCAGGAATCCAAAAGGTTAAACGTAGTCTTGGATCTGAGTTTCTCCCCCTCCAATCCTCTTTGTTCTTCCAGCTCCCCAAGAGCTGGAGGGAGGGAGGCCTTATAGCAGCTGGTGTCACCAATGCTCTTGGAGAGACATTCTCCACCTCAAGCACCAGGGGGTGGGCCCTAGGGGCTAGGGCTCCCCAGGAAAGCAGTCTGGGTTGGAGACCCCTTCTAGCAGCAGTACCTTGGGGGCGGGGTAGGAGAATCTGTTGTCTGTTCTTCCCAGCTGTCCCCACCCTACCATGAAGCTCCTCCCACTTCCTACTTTGTGGGTGAGAAGACAGCCTCCAGGGCCTTGGTCCTGATTCATATCCTTGTGCCAAATCTCCCAGTGATTTCCTTCGCCCCTCCATCAGGTTCACCCAGGACCCTGCCTCACGGAACCGAAGAAATTGTATAAACTTCTGCCTTCTCTGTAAAAGGCTCAGAAAGGGGACATATTTCTGATCCCCATTCAGTGACCTGCCCCCAGTCTGGCCTGTGGTGAGGCCAACAGCTCATTCATTCCTATTTCCGTAGAGGGGGAGGGGACTGCCCTGAGTGGTAGGGGAAGCCCTGGAGAGGCAACAGAGTTCACAGCCCCTCACCTAAGAAGCCTGGGCATCCTGTTGGAGCTTTGGCTCTTTAGCTAGGGATGTTGCAAGTGTTCCCATTTGCTTCTTCTCCAGAATTTGTAATTTTGGGGGGAGGGGGCATGTGGGCCCCTCAGGTACTGTCCCTCAGCCCCAGACTCAAAGAGAGACACCCACTCTAAACCTCTCAGTGGCCGAGGCCTGGGACCCGCTGCAGATCCTGGCCAGTTCGGGGGAGTATGGAGAGAAGTCCACTCCCTCTGTCTCCCCTGACTGCAGCAATCACAGGACACCGGTGCTCTCCAGGCTCCATCCTCCCAGGACCTGCTGGGGACCCCTCAACATGCAGGAAGCCTTCTGAGGCTGGAACGGGAAACCGTGTCAAGTTGCCTAACTCCCAATGCCCTGCTGGTCCACGCCACTAGCATCTTGTGAGGAGGTACAGGTGGCCCCACTCTCAGCCTAGGAAAGGGTTCCGCAACCTTGGCACCATTAATGTTTTGGGGCCTGCCGATTCTTTGTTCTGGGGGCAGTCCTATGCAATGTAGGATGTTAAATGGCATCCCTAGCATCTAAGCACTGGATCTGAGTAACAGCCCCAGTTGTGACAACCAAAAAATGCCTCTAAACACTGCCAAATGTCCCGTGGGGGGCTAAATTGCCTCTGGTTGAATATCACTGACGGAGGTTAATACCAAACACTGCCTCTTCTGCAGTGAGCTCCGCCAAGTCAGCCTCAGATCCTGCAGATCATGTGAACTGGCATTCAAATCCATCCCTGGCCTATCTTTTCATTTTTAGCTACCATATCCCCCTCTGCTATTCCTGAGCTCTGGCCAATGAGGGTATCTCACTACTCCCACTTACATGTCTTTGTCCCTGAGGTCAGCTCAAGGTCAGAGGTGGGAGGTAAAGGAAAATCCATCTTGGATGGCTCTCCCCCTGTTGAGTTCTGTTCATGAATTCTCCTGAGTCTAGTCACTGCCTGGCTCAGGGTGGGCCTGTTAGGCTCTGCAGGCCTCGAGGCCTCTCTGACCTCACAAAGGACACTCCTGGACATCATCATCCACATGATCCCCTCACCCTCACCCTGCAGATGGGATAACTGACAACAAAGATGGGAGATCTGCTCCTCACAATGTGCTTTTATCTTTGAAGCCCCATCATCATCATCATGCCTATTTATTAAGCATTTCCTATGCGTCAGGCTCTGTGTTAAGCACTTCGTCTGTGTTACAGTATTTAACCTTTTACAACAACCCATGCATGATACCGCACGATACCATTATTTTCCTGACCTTATAGGTGAGCAAACTGGCTTTCAGAAAAGTTAAAAGACACTAGCTTAAGGTTACTGGTTCCACCTGCAGGCCTTCTATCATCCTTTGCTAATGATTTTGGGCTGGAGGGGGAACTATTCCTTCCCCATCCCCTCCCCCAGAGAGCTCAGGCCCCCAATTCCTCGCTCCTCCTGAAACCCAGACCCCTTTGTTCTTCACCCTCCTCCTTGAAATGGCTGCTCTCTGGAGCTGCTCAAAGGAAGGAGACACTGGCGGGAAAGGCGGGCAGGAGAGCGACATCTCAGGGGGCCTAATCTCTGGACAATGGAGACCTGAAGAACTGGAGAACTGACCTTCTAGAGTTCAGGACAAAGGGCAGGGCCGGGGTGGGCAGGCCCAGCTGCACCTCCTCCTTGTTCTGTCAGTCTCTGCTGCACCACCACCATCGATCCACCTTCCCAGCAGGCTCCCCCTTCTTTGCCCAGGCTTCGCCTGACTTGGCTGGAGGCCCCACCTCAGCTGGCACTAACAGGGGATTTGGGGGCATCAACTCCGGAGGGCTGGGAAGTGGGGTTCCTTGAGGGAGGGGAGTCAGAAGGGCCCAGTCCCTCCATCAACAGGCGCCAGCGGAGAAAATTCTTCCTAGGATTGACGGGGTCGTCTGACGGGGGATGGGGAGGTACTGGGCCAGGACCACCCAGTTTGGAGCTGGGAGGGACCCAGCAGATTAGAGACCTGAGTAAGGCAGTGGTGCAGGCCTGTAATTACCCAAGAGAGCAGCACGGAAGACACCGACCAAAGGATGCTGGAAAGAGACAACCTAGCCCATTTAGGGGTCTCCCTATGACCCTCCTTCAGGTCTCCTGATGTCCCCCAGGTGGATTTTATTTGAGGAGGGTTTGGGAGAGAATTTAGACTTGAAGCTACCGCCAAAGCCCCAGAGCCTGAGCGCCCAGGCTCCAAGGTGGGATTCAGGGCTCCCAGCTCCGCTCCCCCCGCCCAGTTCTAGCGGCGGGTGAGTCACTAGAGCGCTCCCTACATAGTCTCCCCGCGCGGCGGCGCGTACCAACGCGCGGGCGCAGGGGGAGGCAGCTCGATGGGAGTCCTTCCGGAGCCTTAGAGGCCCCTCAGCTGCGACCTCCGGAGGGGTGTAGGGAGGCTCGAGGATCGACGCCCAAGGGCGGGGTCGAGGCGGGTGGGGCGAGCGAGCGACGGCTCGGTCCCCGGGCACTGCGGGGGTGACTCTCCCCGCGTCGCACTTGGTATGCGCCAGTGGAGAGGCCAGGCCCAGCCCGGGCGGTACAATAGGGTTGGGCCGCGGCGGTGACTGGGCCGGCGCCCGGCAGGCAGCAGGATCGCAGCCGGACCCATTAGAACCGGGGCGGCCGGCGACTCCGAGTCTCGCAGGCTATCAGGCGAGCCAGCCTTTACCTTCCCCGGAGCATCCCCGCCTCCGAGTCGTTGCTCGCCAGGCCGGGCTGGGCGTGATGCGCCGCGGGACCCCTGTCCTGGCCGTTGGCCGCCTCCGCCGAGTCCCCAAGACACCACAGTGACGCCGCAGCCATGGAGAGCGGCCCACATGCAGAGCCGGGTGCCGGCGCACCCTCAGGTATGCCGGGAGCCACGCAGAGGCGAGATGGGGGGAGGTCGAGGAGCCTGGGGAGGCCGAGGACAAGGCTGGCCCACTGGGTGGAGACCCCCTCCCCCGCCGCGCCCTCTTTGACCAGTTAAAGTTTAAAAATAAAGGTTGCTGCGGTGGCGGCGACTCGGTACAACTGATGCATCTTCTGACAGCTACCCCTTCTCTCAACCCGGGCGCTGGGGCGCACAGGGCGGCGGGATCCGCGAGGATCCCGCTTCGGAGTTGTCGGATGACCCTTCCTCCCTCCTCTCCAGCCCAGTGCCACCTCAACTTCCCCGCCCCCACCCCCCTTCCCATCCACCCAGGCCCTGAAGATCCTCTTCTACTGAGCCAGGACGCGTCTGTCCTCCTTCATATCCCCGGTCTGCACGTGTGACCCCAGCCTGAATGTGTGTTTGGGGGTTCCGATTCTCAGGGCTGGAGCCCTGCATACCGAAGCCTGGGCGCCGGAGTACCCCACGCTCAGGCCCGGGCTCATATCTCGCCCCCACCCCATCCCTCCAGCTGCCGCGCAAAGGGCCTGTTGCTGCTGCGGGCGGGCAAAGAGGCGAGGCGAGGCGAGAGGAGGGGAGGGAAGGGGGAGGTCTTTAGCGGCCGCTGCCAAGTAACTCGCCGGATAAAGGCGAGGGGGAGGGGGAAGTAGCATTGTTTGGGTCGAGGGCGGGAGCTGGGGAGTGGGCCGACTCCCCTGCAAGCCTGGCCTACTCCGGAGCCCACCCAGCCCGATTTGGGGCGGAAGGGGGGGGGAAATAAATTTGTTTATCCCGCTCGGCCTCCTCCCGAGCCTCTCTGGGCCTGAGTCTCCCCCTGAAGAAGGAGGTGAAGACTCAAGCCGGCACTCCGGGGACTTGACACTTCATTCCTCAGCCTGAGACTTTGGATACATACCCCCTTACTGTCTTTCTGTCTCTGTCCCTCTCTCTATCTCTCTCTTTCTCTCTCTCCAGGCCCCAGACCATCAAAGCTCTCCCTCCCCTCACCCCACCAACCCAACCACCAGCGCCCAGAACTTCTGCAAATCCCATTCGGATCTGGGAGCAGCTGATGAGGGGGTGGGGACAGATTTCTGGTTGGGCCTGGCGTTGGAGGGAGGGATTTGTCTTTCTTTTTCTTCCTGGAAGGGGAGGGAAGAGCATGATTGCTGAGGGCCCAAGTTCTGTTCCCACTGACTCAGGGGGGAGGTGGCCCCATCCCCACACCTCCATGCAGTTCTAGAGCCTAATCCCCATTGTCACCTCCCTGGCCGCTGGGGCGTGGGTGCAGGATGAAACAGTGTCTGTGGGTGTGGAGAGCCCAGGACAAGGTGGAGCCGCTTGGCTGTGGGTGGGCTCCTCCCAGTGCCAGCGTGGGTGCTTTGAGGGGACCCTGTGGGTGTAGGAGTTGGAAGATGCAGACGGCAGGGTACTAGACCAGTGTGGTTCAGGAGGTTTGTAGGTTGTGCTGAAACAAGGGTGCTTGGGTCTGTCTTGGCTCTGCTGACCCTGAGAAGGGGCACTCAGAGAGGCCCGGCGTGGGTCCATTCCATCTGGTTACCAGCCCTCTGCACCAGAGGGTCCCCAGCACTGGTGTGTACATCAGGGCCTGAATGGGGGCCATAAGTAGGCTATAGATGAGGGCCTGTGTGGATGCCTGGATTGAGTATGAGGGCACGGGTGCGATGCTTGACTGTACTGGGAACCTTGCATGGGGTCTGGATACAGGGTCCTAGTTGGGAAGGTTATTCTATATGCAGGAGTCTGGATGGAGTAACATGAGAACCTGGATCACAGTGTTGCCTGTTCCTTACACAGAGGGAAGCGGAAAGTGACAGAGGCCCCCTCTGAGCCAAGGGCTTCCTCAGAATAAAGGTCCTGCCCACTACAGGTGCCCTATGAGCATCTGAGGCATGGCTCTGAGACTTGAGTGCACGTGACATGATCCTTTTGCACACTGAGCATTAACAGGAGGCAACATGGAGTAGGGGACAAGTGTGGCATCACTTTTGGGTCAGAATACCAGGATGGAAATCCCAGTAAGCTACTTACTGGCAACTGGACTGGAGCAAGTGGCTTACCTTCTTCAGACACAATGCCCCTGAAAAATGGAGGCAGTGTTATCAATCTTGGGTTAAAGTGAGGGTTAGAGATGAGGCACCTAAGAGATCCTGGCACACAGACGCCCTCAGAACAGTGGTTGGAACAAGTGCCAGCACAGGGGTGTGAAATACATACAGGGGAGGCAAGGCCAAGAACTGGGAGTCACATTGCTTAAGACCGTAGACTCGAATCAAAGAGTTTAAATCTCCACTTCATAACTTATTACTGTATGACCTCAGGTAAGTTGCTTAACTTAAGTCTTAAATTTTCCCATCTATAAAATGAGAATAATGCTAGAAATTATTTCATAGAGGCATTAGGGTCATTAAATTACATGAACACATAAAACATTTAGCCTTGGCCCTGTGGCGCGCAGTTAGTGCTCAATAACACTAGCTATTTGCTTTTTGTCACTATTATTCTTCATTCCTTTGGGGACCTGAGGAGGAGGTGTGATTAATTAGAACGTCAGGAGGTAAAGGTGGAACAAACATGGCAAGAGGGGTGAGGGCCCTAGACAGACATGAGCTGGGGGTATCGGGGCAGTGGGAGTGGGAGAGGACACGGGAGATGGGTGCAGTCCGCCACCCAGCGCACCTGCTGTTGTTCACCATGCGCCAGCTTGGGGCTGGCTGTGCAGACAACAGAGAAGTGAATCAGACAGACAGTCCCCACCCTCAGGGAGCTACGGGCCCACGAGGAGAGGCAGATGTGTTCGCTGCGGGGAAACGCAGGTACAGTGGTGATGCAGTGGTCTGCTTTTGGAAGGCTTCACAGAGGATGAGGCATTTGACGTGGACCCGAAAGGACGAGTAGAAGTTGGTGAGGCAGGCACAATGGTTCACATTGCTGCACATAGCAGCCAGTCTGGCTAGCACCTCCCACTGACAGCTTCCTCCCTCCTCGCCCTGGCTAGCCCAGTAATGAGGCCTCTCATGAGCCCCTAATGAGCAGTCACGCATATGCAAACGAGGAGGAAAGGACACTAAGCCAGCCCGCCCCCTGCTTTCCCTCAGGAGGCCATCAGTTGTTGGTGGGGCAGGGCTGAGGGAATGGGGAAGGAGCTGAAAGCAGGGCCCAGATTAGCTGGGGTGGCACTTGAGGGCAGTCAGGGCGGGACCCAGGTTGGAAGTTAGGCCGCAAGCAGCTGGGAGTTGTGTCCTTGGGTCCCTTGCCGGGCCTTGGGGCCAGTGAGGGAGCCAAAGAACCAGGTCCAGATAATGCAGCTTTGTTGACAGTGGCAGCTCTGCCTGGCACCCCGGGGCACAGCCTTCAGCGGCTTCTCCATCGCCTCTCAGCCGCGCTCTGTGCTGAGGGGGGCAGAGAGCATGGTAGGGGTTAGAGAACATGGTGTCGCTGCCCCCATCAGCACTCCTCGCCACTTGTAAGAGCAGATGTGGGTGAGCAACAGACTCTCTGGTGAACCAACTTATTTCCTACTCCTATTTATTAAGGGCCTTCTCTGTGCCAGGCACGGTGCTCAGCATGTCAAATGCATTGTCTCGTTTGATCCTCAAAACATAAGTAGAGATTAGCATTATCCCCATTTTACAGATGAGGCTCAGAGAAGCAAAGTCACTTGCCTAAATTCACACAGACAGGAACTGGCAGGGGCAGGATTTGAACCCAGGTCTATCTCACTCTAAAACCTGTATTCCAAACCTCTCTGCTGAATTATTATGCCAAGCCAGCAGGTGACAATCTGGCTCACTTCCCTTGCCTGACTGGTCTTCTGTGGGCATTCTGGTCTTGGGACCCCATGACCTTTTTTCTTGGGTAGGCAGAGGTAGAGCATGTACCCATCCCCATCCTCCAATCCTGCCAGGTTGGAGTCTGAATAGGTCAGACCAGAAGGAGGCCTTGGGCCCAGGCTTTCCAGCCAGTGGGCCATCCTCAGGCCTTGGCCTGATGCTGGGCCTCTGCCCTAAGCATCTAGGCCTCAGTGTGGGCAGCTCTGCTGGGGCTGAGGGAAGGCCATGCTGGAGCCCGGGCTGCGGGATGGGGTCATTTCCTGCTGCCTAAAATAACAGGAAGTGAGTGCTCCTGATTGGAGGCTGGGAACAATGGCCGCCAACCGGGCCAGAGAGCTCCTTCAGATCTGCAGTCTCATTTGGGTTCCCGGCTTTATTAGAGGCCCATGGTCCGGCCCCAGTTCCAGCCAAGGGTCTGTGCCCTGGGTCTGAGGACTGCTCGCTGGAGCAGGCTGCCCCCTCCCAGGTCACTCTCTCAGAGCTGGCTCTGCCGGAAGTAACGCTGCCCCGTAAGGGCCCCTCTGTCCCAGCCCCACAGTCAGGCATCCATCCCCCAGGGTTTCTCCTTCCTGCCTACCCGCGTCCTCCCAGCAGGTCTCTCTAGAAGGAGAGGAAGCCCAGGAGGTTGTCTCTCTGGGTAGTAGACTGAAGGTACAAACTGCCAAACTGGTTTGTGTCCAAACCCCAGCTTTGCTACTGGCCGGCGGTATGGCTTAAGCAAGCATCTTAATATCTCTGAATATATTTCCTCCTTTGTAAAATGGGCTAATATAATCTACCTCATAGGATTGTGGTGAAGATGAAATGGACTGAAGTGTTTGAAGTGTTCAGTTGTAACTCACACAGCATTAGCTGCTGACTACTGTTAACTGGACTTTCCCTGGGCCCAGAGGGGCAAGGCAGAGGTGACCTGGATGAGGCTGTGTAAATATACTGCGGACATTGTGTCTCTGAGCGCTGTGTGTGTCTCTGAGGCACACAGGGCATCCCTGGCTCCGTGCGTGTGTGTGAGTTAGAGGGGGAAGGGAGAGAGAGAAATGTGTCTTGTCTTTTGCCACTGTGGGGCTCTCTTTGTGGTGTGTACTCACTCTCTGTCTCTCTGTGTATCTTTGCCCCTTTGTCGGTTTCATTGTCTTCATTT